CTGCGTTGCCCAGGCTGGTCTTGAACTCCTGGGCTCAAGCAATCCTCCAGTCCCAGCCTCCCAAAATGTTGAGATTACAGGCGTAAGCCCCCATGCCCAGCCTCAAAAACTTGTTTGTTTGTTTGTTTGTTTGAGATAGAGTTTTGCTCCTGCTGCCCAGGCTGGAGTGCAATGTCATGATCTCAGCTCACTGCAACCTCCACCTCCTGGGTTCAAGCGATTCTCCTGCCTCAGCCTCCTGAGTAGCTGGGATTACAGGCATGCGCCACCATGCCCAGTTAATTTTTATATTTTTAATAGAGACGGGGTTTCACCATGTTGGCCAAGACGGTCTCGATCTCTTGACCTCGTGATCCGCCCGCCTCGGCCTCCCAGAGTGCTGGGATTACAGGTGTGAGCCACTGCACCCGGCCTAAACACTTGTTGAATCAAAGAAGCTAGAAGCAAAAGAGTACATAACGATATAACTCCATGTTTATGAAGTTCTAGCACTGGCAAAACAATCTATGGTGATAGAGGTCAGAAGAGTGGTTTCTTCTGGGGTATCGACTAGGAGGCATGAAGGAACTTTCCGGGGTGTTGGAAATGTCTTTGTCTTGATTTGGGTAGTGGCATCTGGATGTGCGCAAAATGTGTAAAAATTCATCCAGTGCTACACTTAAGATTTGTGTACTTTACTGTATGTAAATTATTTGGGAGGCCAAAACGGGAGGATCACTTGAGTCCAGGAGTTCATGACCAGCCTGGGCAACATAGAGAGATCCCATCTCTACAAAAAAATTAAAACTTACCCAGGTGTGATGGCATGCACCTGTAGTCCCAGCTACTCGGGAGGCAGAGGTTGGAGGATTACTTGAGCCTGGGAGGTTGAGGCTGTAGTGAGCTATGATCATGCCACTGTACTCCAGCCTGAGCAATAGAGCAAGATCGATCCTGTCTCAAACAAAAAACAAATTATTGAGTCTGAGTCCCGAGTCCTTGGCTTTTTTTTTTTTTTTTTTTTTTGAGACAGAGTCACTCTAGCCCAGGCTGGAGTGCAATGGCATGATCTCAGCTAACTGCAGCCTCTGCCTCCTGAGTTCAAGCGATTCTCCCCACTCAGCCTCCCAAGTATCTGGGATTACAAGGCCTGCCACCATGCCCAGTTAATTTTTGCGTTTTTGTAGAGACGGGATTTCACCATGTTGGCCAGTCTGGTCTCGAACTCCTGACCTCAGATGATCTGCCTGCCTCAGCCTCCCAAAGTGCTGGGATAAAAGGTGTGAGCCATTGAGCCCAGCCATGGCTCTTTTAAAGAAAGGAAATCTTTCTCAGGCCCTTTACACTTTGCATGTGAAATCTTCCTTACTTATGTATATGCCTTCTGTACTAGACTTGGGAGCCAAGATCCCACTGGATGGCAGCCCTTGCAGGATCCTCCACAAATTAGATGCTTGATAAACAGTTCCTTTATGAATTCACCAAAGAAGATCAGAACCGCTGACCAGTTTTCTATCTCCCTTTCGGTCCTTGGCATGATGCTGAGCACATCTTTTGAGCACTTATTAGGTGCCAGGCTTACAACGAGGCATCCTCATGAGCCCTGCACACACATGAGCTTCTCAGGGAGCTCACAACAGCCCTGGGGTGCAGGTGCAACTTTGTCCTCATTTCCCACGTGAGGAAGCTGGGACTTCCCTCCAGTCGGCTGCCTAAGAAGTGACAGATTCAGGATGGGCACGATGGCCCACACCTGTAATCCCGGCACTTTGGGAGGCCGAGGAGGGCAGGTCACCTGAGGTCAGGAGTTTGAGACTAGCCTGGCCAACATGGTGAAACCCCGTCTCTACAAAAATACAAAAATTAGCCTCCTCTGTGGTGGCACACGCCTGTAATCCCAGCTACTTAGGAGGCTGAGGCAGGAGAATCGCTTGAACCCGGGAGGCAGAGGTTGCAGTGAGCTGAGATTGCAACACCGCACTCCAGCGTGGGCAACTGAACAAGACTCTGTCTCAAAAAAAAAAAAAAAGTGACAGATTCAGACACTAGTCCGTCTAAGGAGAAGCCAGACTGCTCGCCACTAACCAGCACCACCTCATGGTGAGGAAAGAAGCAAACCACTAATGGTCCCAGTGTGCTTTGCAACAGCTCAGGAACTCCTCCCTGGGGCCCACATGTTATCACGCCCGCCTCCACAGGCAGGAAGGCTGAGGGTCAGAAACACTGAATGCCCTGTGCACACAACTAGCAAGTGCAAGACTGGAAACTAGAATCCCTCCCCAATGAAAGCCCATGTTCTCTGTGTCACACCCTCGGGGCACCTTCCCACAGGACAGTTTGACTGCATGGAAGGGCTAGAGCAGCCAATCTCTGTGCAGGCTTGGTGTTTACGTTCCCCACTCAGGAAGATGTCAGGGCTCAGGCGACCTCCTTTAAAGCACAGTGCACGGTGGCGCATGGTAACTCACGCCTGTAATCCCAGCACTTTGGGAGGCCGAGGCAGGAGGATCACCTGAGGTCAGGAGTTCAGGACCAGCCTGGCCAATGGTAAAACCCCATCTCTACTAAAAATACAAAAATTAGCCAGGTGTCATGGTGGATGCCTGTAATCCCAGCCACTTGGGAGACTAAGGCAGGAGAATTGCTTGAACTCGGGAGATGCAGGTTGCGGTGAACCAAGATCATACCATTGCAATTCAACCTGGGCAACGAGAGTGAAGCTCTGTCTCAAAAATAAATAATAAAAGAATTCAAACTAACTGAAGGAGAGTGGAGATAAAACAGCATGAGATGGAGCCTGCGAAGTGTCGGGTGCCGGCCAGATCACACAGTCATGGTTAAAGGGCTTGGATTTTATGTAAGAGAAGTAAGAGGTAACAAAAATATTGAGGCATGGTATGATCCTATCTGCATTTTTAAAGAGTCACTTTGGCTACTGAGGAGAGAATGGCCTACAGAGCAGGTAGCTGGAGATGAGGGAAAGGGTGGGCATGGAGAGTCTTGGAGAGATTCAGGAGACAGTGAGGAGATGCGATGCTCAGGACTTGAGTCAAGAGTGACTTGCACAGGCCTCTGGCTTAAACAGCGAGCTGGACAACGCAGCCATCCACCACAACAGGGGCCCTGGGGGGGAACAGGTTCTCTAGGGAAGATGAGAGTTTTTATATACTCGAGATGAAGATGCCGTAAGAAACATCCAAGTTTAAAAAAAGTCATGAATGTTGTTGGATACGTGGACTGGAGCCCAGAAAGAAGGCTATGGAGAGAGCTCTGAGGACTGTTGACACCTAAATGGTAATGGCAACCACAGGGAAGAAGAATGAGACCACTCAGGAAGAGAGGTTAGAGTGAAAGGGGACCAGGACCCGGAACTGGAACTTTAATGGCTATAAAACGGAGGAACGGGACCTGGCAAATGAAACTGAGAAGAGGAGAGAGGCAGGTGACGAATTGAAGAGTACTGGCTTAGACAAGGAGGAAGGAGAGTGTTTCAAGAAAGAAGCACCCTGGCCGGGGGCAGTGCTCACACCTGTAATCCCAGCACTCTGGGAGGCTGAGGGGGGTGGATCACAAGGTCAGGAGTTCAAGACCAGTCTGGCCAACATAGTGAAACCCTGTCTCTACTAAAAATACAAAAAATTAGCCAGGCATGGTGGTGGGCACCTGTAATCCCAGCTACTAGGGAGGCTGAGGCGGGAGACTCATGCGAACCCAGGAGGTGGAGGTTGCAGTGAGTTGAGGTCGCACCATTGCACTCCTACCTGGGTAACAGTGCGAGGTTCCATCTCAAAAAAAGGAAAAAAAGAAAGAAAGAAGTACTCTCTTAGTTAAGTAAAAATGAGGATTGAAATGTTTCCAGTGGACTTAACATGGAAGCAAGGGGTGACATCAGTTGCTATAAAAATGTAAGCAGGGCCAGGCACGGTGGCTCACACCTGTAATCCCAGCACTTTGGGAGGCCGAGGAGATCTGAGGTAGGGAGCTCGAGACCAGCCTGGCCAACATGGTAAAATCCTGTCTCTACCAAAAATACAGAAATTAGCCAGGTGTGGTGGTGCATGTCTGTAATCCCAGCTACTTGAGAGGCTGAGGCAGGAGAATCGCTTGAACCTGGGAGGCAGAGGTTACAATGAGCCAATATCACGCCATGGCACTCCATCCAGGCTGGGCGACAAAGCGAGACTCCGTCTCAAAGTAAATAAATAACATATCATAACATAACACAAGCAATTTTTTTAAACCATCAGATCTCAACAGTTGCTTTTTTTTTTTTAATGGAGTCTTGTTCTGTTACCCAGGCCGGGGTGCAGTGGTGTGATCTTGGCTCACTGCAACCTCTGCCTCCTGAGTTTAAGCGATTCTACTGCTTCGGCCTCTCGAGTAGCTGGGATTACAACTCTTTCTTCAGCCCCTTCTGTATGTATTGCATTAGTTAATTTCATAAGAATGTTGTCCTTTCATTGACCAGGCATGGTGGTTCACAGTACTTTGGGAAGCCAAGGTAGGAGGATCACTTTGAGCTCACAGTTCCCAGACCAGCCTGGGCAACATGATGAAACCCCATCTCTACAAAAAATACAAACAATAGCCGGATGTGGTGGGGAGCGCCTATAATCTACTACTCAGGAGACCGAGGTGGGAGGATTGCTCGAGCCTGGGAGGCAGGAGTGGCACTGAGCCGAGATCACGCTATTGCACTTTAACCTGGGTGATAGGGCCAAACCTTGTCTCAAATAAAAAAAAAAAAAAAGAATGACTGTCGTCCTTTCATGAAAAATGTGAGGTCAGGATCGGTAGTTCATGCCTGTAATCCCAGTGCTTTGGGAGGCTGAGGCAGATGAATCACTTGAGTTCAAAAGTTTGAGACCAGCCTAGCCAACATGGTGAAACCCCATCTCTACTAAAAATACAAAAATTAGTTGGGAATGGTGGTGTGTGCCTGTAATCTCAGCTACTCAGGAGGCTGAGGCTCAAGAATCGCTTGAACCTGGGAGGCAGAGGTTGCAGTGAGCCAGGATTGTGCCACTGCACTCCAGCCTGGTTGACAGGGAAAGACTCCATCTAAATAAAAAGAAAAAAAGGAAGTGAGGTCTCAGGAGAACTTTTTATTTAATCTCCCACCAAACTCAGGATAACCCAGCCGTCCTTGGCAATTCATCATTCCCCCAATTTCCCATGAGTCTGTTACCTCTACCCAGAATGTCCTCCAACTGGATAAATTCTCCTTATTTTTAGGCCCAGTTGAAATGTCATCTCCTCTGTGAACTTTCCCCAAATGCCTCAAACAAACTTAATCCTCCTTTCTCAGGGCTAAAGGCCAGATTAGCACTTGTCTTCCTATACAGCATTGATGACTCTGAGGGGCTGCAGTCTCCCCCCCCAGCTGTGCCTCTTCTTACAAGCCCTTAATAAATGTATCAAAAATCACCTAACTCCACTCCCTCCCCACTTCAAAGTGGGACTCTGTGCCCAGACTGCAAGGCTCAGGCTGAGCGGCCATCTCAGAAAGTACTTCTGTACTGACACCTCCTGGCAAGATGGGGTATGACAGCTCCTGATTCTGGCTTTTCTCAATTCTGGAGTCCTCTCAACTCTTTGTATTCTTTCATTCATTCGTTCTTTTGTTCCTTCTGTGCCAAACTCTGGTTATCTGATGAGCCAGACAGACCCAGTTCCTGACCTCAGGGAATTCAGAATCTAGAGCATAAGGCAGTCTTGGAACTGGAGTGTTATGGGAGCTATGATCCTGAATGTTTTGAGGCCACAGGAAATGGGGTGGCTTTGCCTATATCTAAAGCTGCCACCCCAAAGGCCATAACAGGGGTAGAGTCTGAGCAGGACATTGCCCTATTTTGGCAACTGGGGCTCTCACTTGGGAAGCACATCTGTGACTTCCTCCATATCCACCCTCTACACATTCCCCTGTGATGTTTTTTGGGGGACCTTGTTGCCCAGGCTAGAGGGCAGTGACCCAATCTCGGCTCACTGAAACCTTCACCTCCCAGGTTCAAGTGATTCTCTTGCCTCAGCCTCCTGAATAGCCGGAATTACATGCACTTGCCACCAGACCCAGCTAATTTTTTTTTTTTTTTTTTTTTTTGAGATAGAGTCTTGCTCTGTTGCCCAGGCTGGAGTACAGTGGTGCGATCTCGGCTCACTACAACCTCCACCTCTTAGGTTCAAGCAATTCTCCTGCCTCAGACTCTCGAGTAGCTGGGACTACAGGCGTGCACCATCATGCCCAGCTAATTTTTGTATTTTTAGTAGAGATGGGGTTTCACTATGTTGACCAGGCTGGCCTTGAACTCTTGACCTTGTGATCCACCCGCCTCAGCCTCCCAAAGTGCTGGGATTACAGGTGTGAGCCACTGTGCCCGGCCTTAAATTTCGTATTTTTACTAGAGACAGGGTTTCACCATATTGGCAAGGCTGGTCTCGAACTCCTGACCACAAGTAATCTGTCTGCCTTGGCCTCCCAAAGTGCTGGGATTACAGGCGTGAGCCACCACACCCAGCGCCCTGTCATGTGTTTCTTTTAACTTAATGATAACAACAAAGAAAAACAGTATACCACACTAAAAAACAACTCAGCATCTCTCTTAGTTCCTCTGAATGGCTGGGTCCTGGAATCCATTTCATACTTTCTTAAAAGTCCTAAGATTAGAACTAATATGTTAGAGCTGGAAGGGACATTCACTTTTGCATTATTCATTCTGTAGAGACTTACTGAGCACATATTAGGTGCTAGGCATTGTGTTAAACGCTGAGGACGGAACAGTGAACAAGAAAGCATACGGTGTATACTCTCAGGGAGTTTATTTTTTCTTTAGGGGAGAGAAAACAAAGTAAGTACATAACTTTTTCTTTTTTTTTTTTTTTTTTTTTGAGATGGAGTTTCACTCCTGTTTCCCAGGTTGGATTGCAATTGCACAATCTCAGCTCACTGCAGCCTCTACCTCCCTGGTTCAAACAATTCTCCTGCCTCAGCCACCCGATAGCTGGGATTACAGGCATGCACCACCACGCCCAGCTAATTTTTGTATTTAGTAGAGACGGGGTTGCACCATGTTGGCCTGGCTGTTCTCAAACTCCTAACCTCATGATCCGCACCAGCGTGCCCGGCAATATGTACACGACTTTTAAGTATTTCTTGTTAATAGGTGGTACACGATGTGATTCAGAATACAAAAAGATGCACAATGAGAAGCCCCCACTCTTACCCCAGCCACCTAGTGTCCTCCCATAGGGCAAGCAATGGTATCAGTCTTCCCTGTACCCATCCAGATAGAACACATACACACACAGGCAAACGTATTCTCTCCCTCATTCTTATTATACAAATGGTGGTATTTAATACACTCTGTGCTGTACTTTGGGTTTTTCCACTTAGCAATATATCTTAGAAAGCATTTTATATCAATACCTGGATTCCTATATTTTGTCCAGTTGTATAGTATCCATTGTATGAGTATTATATGATTTAAAATAATGTTATGGGGCCAGGGGTGGTAGCTAATGACTATAACCCCAGCACTTCGGGAAGTCAAGGCAGGCAGATAATCTGAGGTCAGGAGTTTGACACCAACCTAGCCAACATGGTGAAACTCTATCTCTACTAAAAATACAAAAATTAGCCTGGTGTGGTGGCACATGCCTATAATCCCAGCTACTCAGGAGGCTGAGGCAGGACAATCACTTGAACCCAGAAGGCAGAGGTTGCAGTGAGCCAAGATCGTGCCACTGCACTTCAGCCTGGGTGACAAGAACAAAACTGTCTCAAATAATAATAATAATAATAATGCTACAGCCCAGCATGGTGGCTCACACCTGTAATCCCAGCACTTTGAGAAGCCAGGGTGCGCAGATCACTTGAGGTCAGGAGTTCAAGACCAGCCTGGCCAACATGATGAAACCTTGTCTCTACTAAAAATACAAAGATTAGCCAGACATGGCTAATCTTAAGCCTAACTACTTGGGAGGCAGAGGCAGGAGAATTGCTTAAACCCAGGAGAAAAAGGTTGCAGTGATCCAAGATCACACCACTGCACTCCAGCCTGGGTGACAGAGTGAGACCTTGTCTCAAATAAAAAAAAACAATGTTACACTGTGGGACTTGGATCAGTAGTGAAAGAAGAAATAAATAAATAAACAATGTTGGGCGAACGTGGTGGCTCACGCCTGTAATCCCAGCACTTTGCGAGGCTGAGTGGGGTGGATCACGAAGTTAGGAGTTCAAGACCAGCCTGGCCAAGATGGCGAACCCTCGTCTCTACTAAAAATACAAAAATTACCTGGGCATGGTGGGGGATGCCTGTAATCCCAGCTACTTGGGAAGCTGAGGCAGAGAATTGCTTGAACCCAGGAGGCGGAGGTTGCAATGAGCCAAGATCGCCCCACTGCACTCCAGCCTGGGTGACAGAGTGAGACTCTGTCTCAAAAAAAAATAGAAATAAAAATAAATAAATAATAAATAGATAATGTTACACTGATGAGGCAAACAGAAAATAAGTAGGGAACTGAATTTTAAACTAATAAGAGATCAGAGTCTGAAACTGAAGCAAAAAAAAAAATTGGGAAAATAATAATAATAAAATGAGTGAGGCACAATGGCTCATGCCTGTAATCCCAGCACTTTGGGAGGCTGAGGTGGGCGGATCATGAAGTCAGGAGATCGAGACCACCTTGGCCAGCATGGTGAAACTTTGTCTCTACTAAAAATACAAAAATTAGCTGGGCGTGGTGGCGTGTGCCTGTAATCCCAGCTACTCAGGAGAATCACTTGAACCCAGGAGGCAGAGGTGGCAGTGAGCCCAGATCACGCCACTGCACTCCAGTCTGGCAACAGAGTGAAACTCTGTCTCAAAAAAGGAAAGGCATGGTGTGGCTCACGCCTGTCATCCCTGCACTTTGGAAGGCGGAGCGGGGCAGATCACGAAGTCAGGAGTTCGAGACCACCCTGTCTCTACTAAAAATACAAAAAATTAGCCAGGCGTGATGGCACATGCCTGTAATTCCAGCTACTGGGGAGGCTGACTCAGGAGAATCACTTGAACGCAGGAGGCAGAAGTTGCAGTGAGCCGAGGTCGTGCCCCTGCCCTCCAGTCTGGGCGACAGAGTGAGACTCCCCCTCAAAAAAAAAAACTAAAAACTAAACAAAAAATAATAAGAAGAAGCTAACAGGGGAGATCTGCCTGTAGATAAGGTGATAAGGTGATCAGGAAAAGAAGCTCACAGTCAGGAAATGATATTGAAGCTGAGTCCCAAAAGAGGAAATCTACCAGGGGAAAATGAGGAGGAAGAATGTCCAAGCAAAACAACGTTCGCCAAGGCAGAAATAAGCGTGGCATCCTGAAGCGGCTGAACTGTGGCTGGAGCTGGGGTTCACGAAGGAAGTACAGAGCTGGGTGACAAGAGGCATTGCTGTCCAGGCTAAAGACCACAGGCATGATTCTAAGCATAACGGGAAGCCCCTGGAAGATTCAAGAGAGAAATGGACATGCTCTGATGTATATTTGTAAAAAAAAAAAAATTCACTTAGGCAGTTATGTGGAGTGCAGAGGAAAGGCCAAGAATGCAGGGAGGCAGGCCAGGCGCAGTGGCTCACACCTCTAATCCCAGCACTTTGGGAGGCCAAGGCAGGTGGATAACTTGAGGTCAGGAGTTCCAGACCAGCCTGACCAACATGGTGAAGCCCCATCTCTACTAAAAATACAAAAACTCAGCTGGGCATGGTGGCGGGTGCCTGTAATCTCAGCTACTCAGGAGGCTGAGGCAGGAGAATTACTTGAACCTGGGAGGCGGAGGTTGCAGTGAGCTGACATCGTGCTACTGCACTCCAGTCTTGGGGATAGAGGAGACTCCATCTAAAAAAAAAAGAGTGAAAGGAGGCAGATGAGGAGGGAGGCTGATGCCACAGCATGGGCAGGGTGACAGCAATGGGGATGAAGAAACACTGGCGATGTGGGGACTTATTTTGGAAGTGGAGCTCACAGGGGGGTTAATCTCACAGATCATGCAGCCCAGGTCCCTCACTTCCTGAACAGGCCAAGCCTAATGACTTGTTTGCCACAGGTCACAGAGCACTGTAGTGGTGGATCCAGGCCTAGAATCCAATGTTTCTGACTCCCACATCAGTGTTATCTCACTCTAGTGATGTAGAAGGAGTTGGAAATTTGAGTGGAAACTGTAATCTTAAAATTCTGTTAATCAATAATTACTGATATATTCCATCTTTTAAAATTGTTGGGCAGCTTTCTGTTGGCTTTCTTGACTCCCCACCTCAGGGTAGAAAGAGACAGATCTGGGGCTGGGCGCAGTGGCTCACACCTGTAATCCCAGAACTTTAGGAGGCAGAGGCGGGCAAATCACCTGAGGACAGAAGTTCAAGACCAGCCTGGCCAACATGGTGAAACCCATCTCTACTAAAATACAAAAAATTAGCTGGGCACGGTGGTGGGCACCTGTAATCCCAGCTACTCAGGAGGCTGAGGCAGGAGAATCGCTTGAACCGGGAGGCAGTGGTCTCAGTGACCTGAGATCATGCCACCGTACTCCAGCCTGGGTGACACAGTGAGGCTGTAGCTCAAGAAAAAGAAAAATGTTAGGCTCGGGTTTTGGGGCTTGAGATGTTGGCAATATCCAATGAGAGCCTAGGTTGGCAGTTGAATATACCAGTTCAGGAAACAGCTCTGGGCTGTCTATATTTGGGAGTGGTTGGCACAGGGGTGATACTGAAGCCCCAGGACTGGATGAAATCTAGAGAGTGTAGACAGAGGGTCAAGGACTAAACCCTGACATTGAGGACAAAAAACTGAGGAGGAACCAGGCCAAGGAGACTCAACAGGAAAAACCAATGAAATAGGAGGAAAATCAACAGGCATGCTGTGCTAGAGTCCAAGGGAAGAAAGAAGAAAAGCATCAACAGGGCCAGGCGCAGTGACTCTCGCCTGCAATCCCAGCACTTTGGGAGGCCAAGGTGGGTGGATCACCTGAGGTCAGGAGTTTGAGAGCAGCCTGACCAACATGGAGAAAGCTGTCTCTACTAAAAATACAAAATTAGCCAGGCGTGGTGGTGCATGCCTGTCATCCCAGCTACTGGGGAGGCTGAGGCAGAATTGCTTGAACCCGTGAGGCGGAGGACGCAGTGAGCTGAGATCATGCCACTCCATTCCAGCCTGGGAAACAAGAGTGAAACTCCATCTCAAAAAAAAAAAGAAAGAAAGAAAAAGAAAAGCATCAACAATGTCACAGGTTGCTTACAGAGCAGAGATGAAGACTGAGTACTGGCATGTGGAAGAGTGGCCTTGCCAGGAGCAGCTCTGCTGGAATGAAGAAAATAGCCTGATTTGGAGTGGGTAAGAGAAAATGGAAGAACAGAAACAGAGCCAGTAACAGCTTCCTCTCTGGGGTTTTGCTGCAAAGAGGAAGAGAGAAATGGGCAGTAATAACTGGTGGAAGAAATAGGAGAAACAGGCGAGCATGGTGGTTCATGTCTCAACACTTGGGGAAGCCGAGGTGGGATTATTAGAGCCCAGGAGTTTGAGACCAGCCTGGGAAACATACAGAGATCCTGTCTCTACAAAAAAAAAAAATAAGCCTGGTGTTGTGGTACATGCCTGTGGTCCCAGCTACTCAGGAGGCTGAGGTGTGAGGATTGCCTGAGTCCAGGAAGTGGAGGCTGCAGTGAGTCATGATTGTACCACTGCACTCCCGCCTGGGCGACAGAGCAAGACTCTGTCTCAAAAAAAAAAAAAAAAAAGCATAGAAAGAAACAACAGCATGTTTTTATGTTGATGGAAATGATCCATTAGAGGTAAAATTATAATGTGGGAGAGAGGGAGATTTGATGAAGCCATCTTTTATGGTTTTGTTGAGAAAGGGTCTTACTCTGTCTCCCAGGCTGGAGTGCAGTGACACGAACATGGTTCACTGCAGCCTTGACCTCCCAGGCTAAAGCAATCCTTCTGCCTCAGCTTCTACAGTAGCTGGGACTACAGGCATGTACCATCACACCCAGTTTTTTTATTTTTTGTAGGGATGAGGTCTCACTATCTTGCCCAGACTGGTCTCGAACTCCTAGGCTCAAGTGATCTTCCCACCTCGGCCTCCCAAAATGCTGGGATTGAAGGTGTGCACCACCAAACCCGACCAAACCATCTTCTTGAGTTGCTGAGAGACTGAGCTTTGATGCACAGATGGAGGGATTTGTTCTGGACAGAAACATGTGTAGTCCAAGGACATTGGTTCTCATGGTCTAGGTAAAACTTCTTAAAGCACAGATGCAGGATTTCTGATTCAGGAGTGGGGACCCTGTAACTTGCATTTCTGACAAGTTCTCCAATGGTG